GGGCGGAGTTGCGTCGGCGTCGGCTGTGGGCGGAGTTGCGTCGGCGTTAGCGGTGGGCGGAGGTGCGCCGGCCGTCGGCGGAGTTGCGTCCGCGTCGGTGATCGGCGGAGCGGCGTCGGCGGTGGTGGAGAGGGGCAGGCGCCGGCAGTAGCGGTGACGGTCGTCGCGACTTCAGTGTCGGTGGTGTTGGTCCCGGAAATGGAGGCGGTGGCAACGGCAGCGATGGTGCTCGCTGTCCCGGAAGTGGGGAACACGGCGGTGGCGGATGTGACGTCATCTGTGAGTTCTCCGATAGTGGCCTCCTGGCCAATGGCGGCGGGCCTGTTGTGGGGAAGGTCCTGGGTACGGCTGGGGATTTTGGGGGTGGAGGAAGCCCGTTTTGGGTGGTAGGCACCAGTAAGTTTACTGTACTTACGGTTTTTAGTGTCCAATAAAGCTGAGTAGAATTGGGAGTTCAGGTTGTGGATCCTACGAAGAATAAAAAACAGGAGAGGTCCTTTGCAGGTCTGGGAGAGGGAGGCTCTGAGCTGGGGTAGGCTTGATTGTAGTGCCTGGAGATGCCGGCGCATTGCTGCAAGTGTGTGTTTCAGGAGTCGCAAGGAGAAATGCTTCTGAAGGATCTCAACACCATGAGTGTAGATATTGTCATGGCTGGGGCCAAACTGGGAAGGCTTGAATGTGGATTGTAGTCCATTGGGGATGATCTGGTTCCGTAGGCAGGTGCTAAGAAAGGTGATGTGGCTGTAGTACCTGGTTTGCTTCAGGACATGGTCGAGCAGTTTCAGGGCCGAAGAGATTACAAGAGAGTTGCAGTGGGAGAGAGATCCCCTGAGGTTTGTCCGGAGGCAGGAGGGTAACTTCTTCAGGCTAGGCATCATTAGAAGAGGCTTCGCAGTGGGGTTAAAATTGAATCAGAGATAGTAGGAACTGCAGATGCTGGAGAATCCAAGACAACAAGGTGCAGGGCTGGATGAACACAACAGACCAAGCAGCATCATAGGAGCAGAAAGGCTGACGTTTCAGGCCTAGACCCTTCATCAGAAAAGGGGGAGGGGAAGGGGGTTCTGAAATAAATAGGGAGAGAGTGGGAGGCGGATAGAAGATGGATAGAGGAGAGGATAGGTGGAGAGGAAACAAACAGGTCGAAGAGGCAGGGATGGAGCCAGTAAAGGTGAGTGTAGGTGGGGAG